ACTTAAGGACAAGACTTGTGTCTAATTCCCATTTATATACAGATACACTCAAATAATGGATGAATTAATCAGTTTTTGATGAAAAAAAACCCTTAAAATATATCTTTACCAGAGAACACGATGAAGAGGTTGGAGAAAATTTGAGGTCTGTCCACCAGTTTTTATTTCTCTAAATAAGTCACACAAAATTTTCAGGTTTTTAAAACAATAGTATCCAAAGCTAATGTTTCCTAATTTAAGATTAATGTCCTTGCCTTGCACACTAACAAAAGTATCACCTCCATCTACATTTTATAGCCATGGAAACAGCTTTAGAAGGCAGCCTGCCACCAGAGGGCAGCAAAGCTAAAGCCCTCTAGTTTAGATCCACAGCACTCCCCACACCAAGCCATCAGGACTTCACTAAAACTACACACACACACACAAATAAATAAAAATGAAAATACACAGCAAAAAGCAAATGAAAGTTTTCGTTTTTTTTCTCATCCTAAACTAACTTCCCTCAAAAGCCTTTTAACACTTCATGCAGATCTTGAACAGAAAGCCAGAGAAATATAGTGAAAAAAGAAATCCGCCTTTCTAAGGCCTGACCTCCTTTATGCGTCCCCTCTAGGTTCATCCACCCTCAGGAGAGGTCTGTCCTCCAAGTCTGAGTGACAAGGCACACTCACTCCCTTCTTGTCAGACTGCATAAACGAGAGACTGGAAAGAGCAAGCGTGAGATGAGCAGGATGGGGAACACCACAAAGAGCCCGCCATTCACTGATCCTGGGGAGCAGTGAGGCTCTTTTGTTTCAAAGCTCTTTCTTTTCAATAAAATTAGTAGGTTTAAGAGAGCTAAGAGTGAAAGCAAAAGCAACACTCAAGATTACCTATGAAACCCTTTTCAGGTCCAAATTTGTACGAATATTATTGCTTTGCTTTTGTGGTGCTGGTGTTAAACCCTGGGGATGTAGTGAGCTACATCCCCAGCCCTTTACAAAATCAACAAAGCACTCCAAATACAGTATGTCCAGAACCAAATGTGTTAATTCACCACAGAGAATTAACAAATCCTCTAAAGAAGCCTCTAAAGCTGCTTCTCACCCGCCTTTTCTGTACCTCTCATTAACAGTACCACCTTCACCAGTGCTCCAAACCAGCATACCTGGTCTCAATCTTAAAACACCATTTTCTCCTTCCTCACATCATATCTCAAGACACAGTGGAGAAAGACTGGATTCTAAAGGCAGATCTGAGTACAAACGCTACCAACACCACTGTCTGGCTGTAGTCTTTGGGCCAGGACACAAACCTTCTGGGACCCCTGATCCTGTTTCTAGAACAAAGCTAATGCCATGTACAAACTGTTACAAAGATCAATAAAGCATGTGCCACAGTAAGGGCAGGCAATCTAGAAGACTGGAAAATATGACTGTCACTATGAACAAAATACACTTACTTCTATAAACTTTTAAAATCCAATTAATCCCAAACTAATCTTAAAGAGAGTAAATCATACTGACAATAAAATTCACAGAAAAGGTCATATATGTTGCACCAAATTAGCATTAAAACAATTAAATGAAATTCCAATATTCATTATAAAAATTTCAATCACAAGGAAAATATATATTTGGCTACATTCTTATTCCCAGTAGACAAAAAAGTAAAACAAAAGCAGTCTTTTATTCCATAGTATATTTTGAGTTTTTCCTTCTAGAAAGATACACTTAATGTTGGCTAAAGAGAACAGATGCAGAATAATGCTCCTACTGGCTATGCATATCACTTTCTTTTTAAATAGCAGATTTGAAGAATTATTTCCTATTTTCGAATGAGTTAAACCTTTTACAGACTGTGCAAATTTACCTCCACTAATTACCATAAGGATCAACAATGTAGTTATAATAATTATCTATAAAAACTTACAAATGTATGTGGTAACTAAATCAAAAATACCTCTCTGCATAATGTACTTAAAATTAAGTCAATGTCTTTTAGAGAAATGGAAAGATATACTATATAGCTAGACCATTAATTTGGTTCTTTCTCAAAAATGTTAGAATATGTGGTTTGTTTTTTGAAATCTCAAATATAATCTACTGTATTTAGCACCTCCTGTCCTTTCCAAGATATCAAATAATTGCACACCACACTAAAAACAAAATAAAGGAAAACATTCCTACCACCCACCTTTTTCATAAAAAATAGAAATATTACACATACACACAACATCTTGTAAAGGTCAAAATGACTAGCCCCAAAGAAAGTTGTTTCTCCTTAATTTAAAAAAAAAGAAAAAAGAAAGAAAAGAAAAGAAAATTTAGAGGACTTGGAGTGGGGCGTGGGATCACTGATTTTGGCAAAAAAAAGGCTTAGTAATTTTCATATCCAGTTCTGGAGATCCATGTAGGTGCCTTGATGGCTGTACCCCCAACTCCCTGTTAATCAGAGGTAACTGCATGGTTTTGGGCCCATTTATCCACTGAGCTTCATTCAGCAAAGACTGTTCAAACAGAAGTGACCATAATTTTAAAAATTAACACTTCATAAACTGAAAACATAAACAATATTGAATATGGAAAAAATGGTTTTAAACAGTGATAGAACATTAAGAACCAGGTAGACTCAGCCTTAGTTGCTTTTCCTTTATGAATGTAAGTGTGTTCTTTCAGTGCTAACCAGTTTTATCAGGCTATTGTTTGTTTAGGGAAAGAACACACAGTTAAGCCTCCTCAACTTGGCTTTGGCAAAAAGGTAGCTTGCACAGCAGGGTATTGGCTGTGAACTCAAAGCAAACAGTTTTGGCAGGCAAATATATGATTAACTGACATTACCGGGTATTCTTGTTTAGATGAATGGGAGAGAGCCCACTTAATAATACTGAGGTGGGGGACATATCTATCTTAATTTGAGAATCTGTACTAGAAATGATATCCCTTCCCAAGGGCATTCCTAATTTTTAACAACTACCACCCCTCCTATTCTTCTACATCTAGGTCAATTAATGCCAACAAAAAATCACAAATTGGAGTTTAACAAAGTAATATATGAAAACAATCACTTCCTAAACAAATTAGACTATTTAGAAAATGAATTATTTTAATGTTTTGTTTTTTCTGATGAAGAAACTATAGATCCAAAGCTTATTTGCCAGTGCCTTGGCCCACACGGCAGAAATGTCTACCACTGACTAGCCTCTCCTAACATTCTCTCTCCTTTACTCCATGGTATTACTGTTGGAATTGTGACAGAGAAGTATCAAAACCACCTAAGAAGAATCCTGTAAATTTTATCACATGAAAATGTTGTTCAGCTAGTGAAACTATGGACAATTTTCCTGTTTGCCAAACTTTCTGTAATCCAGAACATTATTTTTTTAATGCTTATTACTTTACAAGAGAATAGAATCAAGTCTCTCCATATTAAGACTCAGTTGGCAAAGGATCAAGAAGGGAAAAAAAACATTATTAGCATTTGTGGTTTGAAAGCAAATTATATGAATACTCAGAGATAAAAACAATACTTTCATTTGGTTAAAAAATAAGATAAACAGTAGTCTGGATACATTAATGTTTACTTCTTAATATCACTGGATACTTTTCAGAAGGCTCAGAAATAAAAATAACAGTATGTTCCAAACATAGGGAAGATAAATGTTGCTACACATAAACTCTCCAAACTATGATCTAATTTAGTAATACACCAGGGCCATGACAAGTCTCATTTCTTCTCTGCATTAATGAAAGCAACCCTACATCCAGGACAGAATGCTGGGGAGGTATTGATGCCCATAATGGTGGCACACAGCCCTATCAACAGGGGACCCAAACATGAGACATGCAGACTTTCCTATCTGACGCTGCTCTCTGGACCTGGAAACAAACCAGAATAAATTCAAGTCATTTATTTCCTCAAAATGGGTAAAATATGAAAATAAGGTCCAAACTGCTATACATGTTGATTTCCTCCAAAAAAATCTAATGTAAAACATGCACAGGTAGAACAATCTAAGTTTCAAAATGTCTTTTTGCTCTAAAACTCACATTTGAAACCGACTGACACATGAGCTAGATGTTCAACCCATTTGTTTGTTTGCAGTGCTGAGGACTGAATCCAGGGCCTTGTGCATGCTAGGCAAGTGTTCTGCCACTGAGCTACTCCCCACCCCTCAATCCTTTTTAGGAAAGATAGAAACACAAGTTCACATATTTATAATAGGTTTTGAAATTCTATATATTTAAGAAAATATCAGCTTTTCCTGTGATAACTCTTTCCTATTAAAATACATAAATTTTGCTCACATACATTTACATCATTACAATCATTACTAAATATACAACACAGACAAGAGTAACTGTTTTTAATATGTAATAATAATTTTTTAATTATAAAACCTATCTCTTCAAAGAAATAAGCATACTTTGGTGTACTTCTTTTCCTACTTCTTAAACCAAGACAAAACTGACCTAATCCCTGCCACACAGTTTTTAAATCCTGAGGTTAAGTGAATTCTTTCCACATACCTTTCTTAGCTACACATAATGTGAGAGGGGACACCATTCATGGTTCACACCCTCCTAAGGCACTCTGCAAATTTTCAAATATCTTTTAGAACCAAGCTTTTACAAATGAGGGAAGAGACCTTGTTCTACTTGAAGTTCAAGCGGTCAGCAGTAGATTAGAAAATGTGTTTCCTCAAAAAAGCAAGACACTGTTAAAAACACGTCCCTCTGGGCACTGCACCCCTTCTAGGCCTTGTTGGCAACGAAGTCAAGTTTCTAGAGCAGGAAAAACCACACTAAGCAACTTCAAGGGAGAAGGCTGGCAGACAGACTAAGCTCACAGGGTTACCCTCCTGGACTACACAGTCATGGACAAACTGAAGCTCACACTTTTGTAGAAAACAAAGCAAATTCAAAGATTATTTCAAATAAATATATGATGTAAATGCTGACAAGAGTGCCTTTAGCGTACACACAGCACTTCAGCTCAACCCCAGGAGGCAAGAGGCTTACCTGCTTCCTGTGAATTCAGCACTTCTAAGGCATGCATCATGGCACTTGCGAAGACATTGGCATCTTCCTTGCTGCCAAAGTTGAGGCCATACACCTGTCTAGCATCTCGCCACTGGTGGAAAGTCTGTGTAGCTTGATTATACTTCAACCCTTTAGGAATGGCACAATTTATCACGACCTAAAAGACAATAATTCTTTATAAAGTCAAGCTAACACCTTGCAAAATCAAGGAACAACTGAGATAGTGTTTTAAAAGGCTGTCCACCTGATCCAGTGCCATCTTCTAACAGCCACAGCTTACCTTTTACCTTTTTTCACACTTCAAATGACTTGTTTTGTCCTGCTGATCAACATGTCTAACTTTTTGCCAATATCGCAGTGTCTTTAATGACCATAGCTTTACATTAAATCACAAGAGCCCCTGGGCATTTCTCTCATTTTGTTCCTCAATATTGCTTTGGGTGTTCTCAGTCAAGCTACCATTTTATATTCTGGTTATCAATGTCCACTAACTTATTTTTAGAATTTTGATTAAGGTTACACTAAACCTAACCGATTAATCTGGGAAGAAGTGGTATCATAAAATTACCTCCTAATATGTGAATATAATATACAACCTTTTATTTAGACTGACTTTTAATACTTGGTACCTTTCTATATGATGGTCTTGAATGTTTTCATTAGATTTGTTAGCTATTTGATAAATTTTTCTTACTATTTATTAGTAACAATATTTAAAATTTTTAAATTTGTCTTATGAAACTGATTTTTGTATAATGACAATGTCCTCAGAAGCCTTTTGAACTTGTCTTTTAATTCCAATCTACTATTAGTCTGTTGGTTAATTCTAACCATTCTAATCTATTAATCCTAACAATGTATGTTCAGCTGCCCCCCATACATATCCGTAACATCAACACACGATGGCTTTATTTCTTTTTTCCAATCTTTGTACACAGTACTGTTTCTTTTTCTTACCTCCACTACACTGACTAGGAATCACAATCCAGTGCTAAAAAAATGTGGTGATACCAAGTATCTTCCTCTCTTACCTGATACTATGGAGGAAAGTTTTCTTAACATGACCCTAGACACAATCTTCCATGAATTGTTTCCCATACTTTCCCCCAGTGTGTGGAAGCATGCTGACCCTAATATCTTTATATTCTCGAGTAAAATTAACCTGTAATTTCCTTTCTGTTGTATTCATAAAAGCTGTAGTATCAAAGTTATGCTGGGCTCAAAGGGCATTGAAAACTGATCCTTTTCTTGGTCATTTCTGGAAAAAGGTTTGTAATGTTGGTATCATTTCATGAAAGTTTAAACACATTAAATGACTAAAGACACATACAAACAAACCAAAAAGTCACCTGAATCCAAAGTTCTCTTCTTTTGAAATTTTTTAAACTATGGTCTTAATTTCTTTAAAAAAGTAAGACTGCCCAGATTTCCTATTTCTTCTCATGAGTTTTGTGAAGTTCTATTTTCCCAGGAACTTATACAGTTTACCCAAATTTTCAAAACTGCTGCTCCAGACCTGCTCAGGACAGGTGTCCTCTTCTCATGGTATGACTTGATTCTCTCTCTCAGTTGGGGATGTTAGAGCAGATCCTCTCCTTGGTATACCTGCTTTCCACTGAATTTATTTCAACTCTTAGCTGTGCTATTATCCTCATTCTATTTTACTAAGCTTTAATGGCCTATTCTTTAATTTCTTGGATCAATCTTTCATTTACCTAACCTTTGAGAAGCTACAATGTAAGTAATCCTTAAAACTAAGGGGAAAATGCTTATTTTCACTTAATAATAATTACAGTAAATCCCCAACTTATGGCTATTTGTGTTGTGAACTTTCACAGATCCGAATGGACCTCAACTTACAAATATTTGTAGATTTGAACAAATTGTAGAAGTAGCTCATACTGTCCCAGGTGTGTTCCTCTGCACTTACTATAGAGTGCAATAGTGTACGGTAGTACTATACAGTTGGGGAATTACTGTATTTGTGTTTTTTTATGCTTTACATGGTATATTTGTGTCAAAGGTATGTAAGAATCACTTTGTCAGACTTATGAACAAATTGGACTTGTGAGCTTTCTTGGAATAGAATTGTATTTATGGGAGATCCATGAAGTTGGCTTGGAGGTTATCATCACCCAAGCTCAAGCTGCAGATCAGTGGGCCCAAGTCAACTGGTGCCACAACAGATCACGCAGCACAGGAAACGTGTTCTCTTTCTTGTGACTTGACTCAGTATCAATCATGTCCATGATGCCTTCCATGCCCATTTTCCCTATCCTCTCAACAAACATGATTCTTTCATGCCATGTTGTCCTATAATTTATAGTTTATCACAACTGTATTAACAGTTCTTCTTTGCTTACAGGCTTTACACCTACATTCTTTTTTTTTTTTTCCTCCGGTACCGGGAACCGAACTCACAACCTTGCGCTTGCCAGGCAGGCACTTTGCTGCTGAGCTAAATCCCCAGCCCCTACACCCACATTCTTAACTGCATCTTCCCTTCAAGTTCATAAACTTAATGAAATTAAGCATAGTTTAGAGCATTATAAACAATTAGTGTGCTGTGTGTGGTGATGCACAGCTGTAATCCCTGCACTCAGGAGACTGAGGCAGGATTGCTGACAGTGCGAAGCCGGCCTGGGCTACAATGTGAGTTATAAGCCAGCAGGAACTGCATAGCAAAACCCTTTCTCAAACAAACAAAACATAAAATAAAAATAATTAATGTTATGCAGGAAAATGGAATAATTTGCACATAATTATATAAAGAATTGATGTGAGTGATTTCTTTAAACAGTGTTACTACAGAAAATTTAGATGTTTAACAAATTGTAACAACATATTTCCACTTGGAAAAGACTGATTACCAATAACAGATACAAGAAATATAGTCTGGAATGAGAAGAAACCAATTACTATTAGATCCATTTGTAAGTAGTATCATTATAAAATGGTATTTTCTAGTTGTTTATTGGTAGTTATTTAAAAAAATATTATTGATTTTAAAATACTAATCTAACAACCCTGCTGAATAATCCTGTTAGTAATAGTCAGTCTGCAGATACTCTGGGGATTTTTTTTGATATAAACACTTCTATCACTGGTGAATGAGGCCCACTGTTGCCTCCGTTTTCATCCTTAAAGCTTCTGTTTCTTTTTTGTACTGCAAGCTAGCTATAATATTCTCTACAACAATGAATGAAAAGTGGTTAAAACTAAAACCCTAAACCAATTCACAAGTTTAACAGAAATGCGCTCAACACTATACCATCCAGTAAAGTGTACTTAAGCTTATTTACACTTCTATCACTGGAAGAAAATCTGTTTTTATACCCCACGTGCTGGGAATTATTACATATTGATTTTAATTTTATCACTTTTTCCCTTGAACCTCACTTCTTACAGATTTTGTCCTAATAAATTACATTAATAGGTTAGCTAATATTAAATTACCTTTCAATCACTGCAATGAAGAACAAAAATCCCCATTTGAGCCAGAGGTGATCTTTTGCTTTTTTCATCACACAACTGTATTTGGTCTGTGAATCGTATTGAGGAGTGCTTCTATGTATGTAAGTGTGTGTTCATTAAGTGAGACTGGCTTATAATTTTCCTGTCTCAAACTGTTCTTTGTTAGATACCAGAACTATACTGGCCTTATAAAATACCATACTCAGTGATGATTTGACAGGCAGTATCCTGGAGTTTTAAAACTTCATCTGTAAAATGCTCAGGACTCCCCTACATCTTTTTTAAATTTTAGGGCAGATTAGTAATTATTGATTTATTTTATAAATAGGTTTATTGTGTTTATCTACTTTTTTTGTATAAATAGGTGTATTGTGTTTTCCTTTTTTGTATAAATAAATAGGTTTATTATTTTTCTACTTTTCTGTCAGTTTTTAAAAATTTTGTTTCTATAAAATGACCCATTTATTGGCATAAAGTTTCAGTTACAATTTTTCATTTCCTTCCTGTAATTAGAGTGCTTTTTCCATTCTTACTATAACCTACTTATAGCTTTTCTTTTTTTTTTATTCTGTTAGTATGTCTTGTTTCTCTTTTCAATGATGTAGATTTTATGCTAATTAGTTCTATTTATTTTTGTGTAGTTAATTCCTTTTTGGTATGATTTTCTTTTTTTAGGTTAAGCTCCTCACCAACACAACAAGGCATGTGTTGTCAAGACTTATCCATCTTACAACAGTTTAGATACTTAGTATCTTATCACTCCAGTCTAAGTATTTCCTTATTTTCATAATAATTTCATCTTATTATTTATCTATAAGATCTATTTTGAATTTCCAAAGATTTTATGGAAAAAAACTACGTCATAGGATAGTTTAATTTTCTTATGAATACATGTTGTAGTGGAGTCCTAGGGATCTACTTCTCTTTAACAACAGTTTAGCTGGGCATGAAAGAAAATTTGTTCTATTTTTCTTGCATAAGCAGGACAATTTTAACATCACTTGATTTCCAACATCACTGGAAAATATGCTTTAAAAGTATATTTAAGGGGGCTGGGGATTTAGCTCAGCGGCACAGCACCTGCCTGGCAAGTGCAAGGTTGTGAGTTTTGATTCCCAGTACTGGAAAAAAAACAAAAAAAAAAAAGTAGTTTTAAGTCTACAACTCATGAAAGTTCTTGTTGTTGTCAATATATTGCTAATGCTAGCAAAACCCTATCTACTTTTTCCTTTGTCTACTGCTCCTGATCTTTTACGGTCTAAGAAATCAACTAGCAGACAAATACACAATTTCTCCCTAAGTAATATTTAATATCTGTTCAAAATTTAAGCTTCTCTTTATTTTTATTACTAGTTTATGATACATAATCATTACATTCATCTTGGAGAACAGATTATTACATATTGATCATTTTTTTCAGTTAGTTCTTATTTAGTACATGTTTGCAGTACATAATGATTATATTCCTTGTGTGGAGTAGGTACATGTATGTAACATCTCAATTTTCATCCCCTTCCCATTTGAAAGAGATCTCCCTACTTCCCATTATCATTTATTTTACATATTATTTATACTTTGAGTTTCTTGTGAGATATATGTTGATATTTAAGCTTATATTTCAATCCCCCTTTACTTTCTCCCCTTCTTAGACTGCAAAAACTAGCTACTTAAAAAATCAGAAGATCTAATGAAGACACATATAGAAAACCACATTTATGTTTTTGTATAATTAGTTCTAAATCTTTGTTTAAATTCAGGCTTTATAAAAAATAAAAAGGGTGGAGAAGCAAAGCTACAGTTTTTTTCCAGAAACATTATTTTTATCAGCATTTTCAAGCACTGATTTATTTCCTGACTATACCATGCTCTTCTGTGATATAGGATCACCTTCCAGCAGCAATTTGGCTAGCCCTTACCTGGTGGTCCTGGATCTTCCTGCCCACCACTCTGAACGTGTTGTTGCCTGTATGGTGATAGATGTGGACTCTGCTGAACCCTGTGGAGCCACCAGCGGTCGACACAGCTTCTCGTTGCCATCTTCCTAAACCATCACAGCAGCTCTCGCCTGACAGATACTCTGTTCACTGCAAAAAATTATAATGTTCAGACTTAAAATATTTGAAAAAAGCTAGGTGTCCCACATAGGTATACAAGCAAGTACTGGTCAAACCGACAGTCAAGCAACATTAATGTTGTACTGGGTGCTGCAAAGAGTGAGCAGAACAGAGGCTTACCTTGCAGGAGAGCCTGCTGGGAAAAGCAGAGACACAAAGAGTGGTAAGGGATGAATGGAAACCAGGGAACGCAGGAGCACCCAAACAAGGTACACAAGAGTTATTCTCTTCTAAATGTGACCATCTAATTCCTTCATTAACTGAATATAATTACAAGTACAAATCAATCATCACTTGTTTAACTGTGCACATGCTTTTTATATTGGTGACCTGTATGTGATTACCATTCTTTCATCTTTGGGTTTACTTCATAGCCTAACAAATTCAAATAAATGCCCTCGGCCTAAGACATGGGGCTGTTACTCACAATCAATGGATGGCAGTGTGAGTAAATCTCAGTTCCTCAAGCAAGTTCACAACCTACGCTACAACTCTCCTGAAAGTGTAAAAGTAAAAATGAGATGATTTCTAAGGATCCTGCTAAATTCAAAATTCTAACCTCCACAGACAGGTATTGAAGAGGAAAAGATCAAGTCTGTGATAGTTTTTTAAGTCTTTGCTGCATTAATTGCAGTTATTTGTTCCCAAATCAGACTAAGATATGCAAATATAATTTAAAGAAGAAATCAATTTCATATTCAACAGTAAGCTCACTTTTCAAATACACTATAATACTCTGGAAGAGAAAAAAGTGATTGAAATTTTACCTTATTCCATCATATATTTTATTTATTTATTTTTGTGGTACTGGAGACTGAACCCCGCAGTAGTCGGAGAGATGCTCCTAGGAAGTGCACACAATCGCATCCTTGGAGCACTGCTCACTCTACCAGTTCAGTCTCAAAGATTTTAAACAGTCGTATGGGTTCTTCCCAAATATGCTCTGGAACCAGCCACCTCACAGTAGTCCCTTCCCTCAAGCTTCAGCTGCGCCTGAGATGAGCAGGACACTGCTATGCCGCTCCCTAGTCCTCAGCCTAAGGACTCCACTGTCAGCCACCTGAAGATGTCACAGCTCTGCACAGCAGATGTGCTTCAGAATGGAGGTTAGAACTGCTAATAATTTTCTATTATAGAAATTTTACAAAAACTAATTTGTGACAATATTTGTGTAGTAAACCCAGTAGTACTACCTAAACTTTAGCACTGTCCTAAAACTTTTTAGTAAATATTCTTTTGGACTAGAAACAAGCCAATAACTAAAGCACAAATTATTTTTAAAACAGTAACGGGTATTTGTCCATATAGCAGTTGAAATTTCTTCATCATTCCCAACAGAAATATTGACAACTTTTATATAACTCTACAAAGATTGACTAGTGACAATTCAACAAATAAACCTGTAAATTAATTCAGAACAGTACTTTGCAGTTTTCAAAAATTAATATTCTGAGCCTATATTCTGTTCCCATGGTTCAATAAATAATGTCTCTTCAAGATGCTCCAATACAAGCAATGGTCCATTTTGTAAAGTAAGTCACTCTATGCTTAAATTTTAAAAAAGAAATATGGAAAATATAAAACTGAAGTGATACAATGCTCCAAAGTCTTCCTCTACCTCTTTACTACCCATTGCTATACAGTAGGTTGCTAGAGAAACTCCAAATACTGAAATACATGCTTAACTGAACACCTCTGACTACTTTTAATCAAGAAACAGTCTACCCTTCATAGCCGAAGTTTCTCAATCTGCAAATTCAACCTACTCTGTATCAAAATATTTTATTTGCATAAATGTGTGCAGACTTTTTTCCATGTCACTATTCCCTACATAATACACAACTGCACAGCATTTACATTGTATTAGGTACTCTAAGTAACCTAGGGATGATTTATAGCAGGGGTATCTAAAAAGCTGGCAGAATGCTGCCCTGAAGAGCTGGCAACGCTTAGCATTATTTGACTTTAGTGACATTTTTCATGGCTCAGTTGTGCAGTGTTGGGCATGGGCTGTGTAGGACAACACAAGGGGAGGTGCAGTGTTTATGTCACTTTGATGCCCACCACAGTCAGGGGGTGGGAACCATGTGTATCAGAGTTCCATGTGTCTGTGAACGTACAGAAAAAACACAGTAGTAATAGCTGGTAATGTTTCAGCACACTACGCATGTATGCCTGTAAAAACAGTTTACTGTTACCAAGCAGACATGCAGGTCTTCTTATTAAACTATGCTATTTCATAAAATAATTTACTGAAAATACTTTTCTGGAGCTGTGCTAGAGAAAGTTGTTTCAAAAAGTTTTTTGCTCATAAAACCCCTAAGCAGAAAAGGTATAAAGAGTACTCAATGAAAAATAGACAAGAGTAGTTTTTTTGTTGAGACAAAATAATAAGGCACTATGCTTAATCTGCAGGGAAATTCTGTGTTTCCAGAGACTGCAATGTAAAAGACGTTATATGAAAACATATGCTGCCAAATTTGATGTGTATCAATGAAACTTTCAGGGACACAACAGCAGAACTGAAAAAGCCTATCATCTCAACAAAGAAGTTACAACTCAAATAGACTCTGATAGAAAACCTATGTGGTAGCATGTTTGACTGCCCCCCCAAAAAAATCACAACTGTTGGGCCTGGGCTGTGGGAGGATCAAGGTGCTGCCCACAGCGTGCTCTGGCTGTGCTGGGAAAGCTCATATTCACAGCCTCTGAAGACAAGAGAAGACTGCAGCTGAGGACATGTGGCTCTTCCTCCTATTCCAGGGCAGCAGTAACTGCCAACCTTAGAGGGAAGACAGTTCTCTTAAATTAGTAAGACTTAACTGCTTAGAATGTCTTTGTTCTAAGTTCTCCAGGCCTGCTCATTTTCAGGGCTTTTGCTTCCGAAGTGCCCTCCACTTCCTGAACCCCCCTGAATTATTAAGGACCCAGTAAATATGGGCAGTCCAGAGAAGTCTTGGTCTTATGCCCAAGAGAGTTCCGACCTTCCTGGACCCCCAAACCACTTTTATTTAACCCCATACACTCGTTTGAGAAGATAGGAAGCCAGATCAGCTCCCAATAAGAACCATTTACTAAAACAAAAAAACAAAAAAACAACCATTTACTGATGGTGAGTAAATTACACAATATATAGAAAGCATGGCAGATATAATTTGTTCTGAAAAAATTAGATTTTTCTTCAGGTTTTAGCCAGGTAAACAGAAGAAACAAGAAAATCTATCCAAAGAAATTTGGAGAGTAAAGCTGTTGATTGCAAATTTTATGCCTGACTACTGATTAAAGTGCTGGAATTACCAAAAGGCTCAACTTGTCCTTTTTATTAGCAGTACTGATAACAAACTGCTAACTGAAGAAACGGCTTCTTTGGTGCCATTAAAAGACACCACTAAATCTCTTCATCTGCATTAAGCAATAAAAATTACATTAAAGCAATTTTCTTTAACCTTTGTCAATACACCTGCTATAGTTACTGATGATAGCACCCGAGTAATGGCCGCTTAAGGATTTAGGCTGGGCATGGTGGCATGCACCTATAATCCTAGCACTCTTGGAGAATGAGACAGGGGGACTGCAAATCTGAGCCCAGCCTGGGCAACTAAGTGAGACTCTTATGTATTAAAGTTTAGGCTTCAAGTGTCTCCCTAAAGTCTTATATACTCAGAGGTGGGGCTGTTAGAGAATGACTGAACCATGGGGATGCTATACTGAATGTGCTTTTAAGAACTGGGGGCTGGTCTGAAGATGTGGTTCACTAGGGGCCCGACCTCAAGGGTGTATCTTGTTGTCCTCCCTCTCCTCCATTTCCTCCTGAGGTGAGCAATTTTCCCCCATCATGGACTAAACAAATAAACCTCTCAAGTTGCAATTGTCAGTTACTGTGTGCAACAACAGGAAAGCAGATTAATATACTGTCACAAAATAAAAAAGAGGGCTGGGGATGGATCTCAGTGCCAAGGCCCTGGGTTCAAACTCCATTACCAGCACCACCAGAATAACATGGGGGCTGGGGATTTAGCTCAGCAGCACAGTGCCTGCCTAGCAAGCACAAGGTTGTGAGTTTGATTCCCAGTACTGGAAAAAAAATCAAAGCAAACAAACAAAAAAAAACATGAAATGTTTTGTCATGAAAGCTGTGAACTTCCTAAAGCTGAGGGCCTGAATCATTGCCAGATCCAGGAGTTCACCACAAGTACAAATGCTGACTTTAGTAACGCTGTTTACTTTTTTAAAGATAGACAAATCAGGGTGAATGTTGTGAAAAGACTATATAATATACAGCTCAAGAGGATTCCTTTTCATTTAATGCAGCTAGGGATGGCCAACAGGTTAGACAATATGTGTAGGTTATATGCAAATACTATACCACTTTACGAAAAAGACTAAACACACGTAGATTTTGGTATCTGATGGAGTCCTTAAACCAGGCTTCTGTGGATACCAGGGACAGTTATATGTATATAAATCAGTCACTAGTCAAGTACATAGGGTGTCAATTCCCTGGGAAAGCAATAACCATAGTAACAAGAGCATCTCCAAATAAACATATCCAAGAAGCCAATAAAGGTAAAAAAATGAAAAAAAAAAGTGATTATTTTCCTGACAAAAATAAAACTAAATTTTCAAAATGAGATGTTAAGGATAAAAATCTAGCTCTAAATAAAACCAAGAAGCATCAGGAGAAGCCAAAGATAAAATGAAGGAAGGATCAGATATGGGTAAGAGTTTAGGTATTATTAGAGAAGTAGTAATAGCCACATGAGTCTGTGGCAAGTTGAGAAGGGACACAGTAAGGTAAGTCTGCATTCCTAAAAGAGAAGCCACAGGAAGGTCCAGTCAGAAAGAGACAGCATTACCCCTGAGGTTTGGTGACAAATGCACTCAGTCCTCCCATCTCTTCATAGCATCTGAGGACCTCTCTGCAAGGGCAGACATGCTACAGTACAATTTTAAAAACCAAACAAACAAGAAAACAAGGGCTGAAGAGTGCCTACAATCCCAGTACAGTACTGTGGGAGGCTAAGGCAGGACAGTCACAAGTTCAAGTCAAGCCTGGCCAATTTAGGGAAACCTTCTCTCAAAATTGGGGGATGGGGGCAGCAACTCGGGTCTTTAGGAATAAAGTTCCTAAAACCTCTGACCTCTCCAGAGTGATTAGGTCTCTGGTTTGCTGCAAAGATATGCCTTGGCTAAGGGGTTTCTAGGTAGCTTCAAATGGGGCTTGGTCACACTCAGCCACCTTATCTTTGACAAAGGAGCCAAACATCCACTGGAAGAAAAATCTCTTTAATAAATGGTGCTGGAAAAACTGGCTTCCACATGCCTTAGACTAAAACTAGATCCATGCCTATCACC